TTTACATCAATTATCTTTTTTTAACGTCGAAGATGTCTCTATGAAGCTAAAGATCGGGAAATGGAACTATAAAATCTCTGAGTGATCACTATAGGGGCCATTTCGCAACTCTCTAGGAACCTTTCGTTTAAAAATCCTTTAAGTGGTCACTCTAGCTTTTCTTGACTTTCAACTGCTGGTATGACTTCTTGAAGGTTCAAAAAATGAAAAATGGAGCTTGAAACGCTCTAAGTGATCACTATAGGGGCCACTACGCAGCTCTAAGGTCTTTTTCGTTTTTCAAAGATCCTTTAAATGATCACTTCAACTTTGTTTCAGTTTCCAGACTTTGGACTGTTGGAGAGACCAGAAATGAAGCTTGAAACTCTAAGTGATCACTTAAGTGACCTCTCCAACTTTTCCAGGTTCTTCTAGTGGTCCCTTCAAAGTACCTTCCGTTTAAAAGATCCCTTTAAGTGGTCTCTTCAGCTTTTCTTGATTTTCAACTGTTGGAGAGTCTTCTTGAAGGTTCGAAATTGAAAAATGGGGCTTGAAACTCTCTAAGTGATCACTATAGGGACCACTTCGCAGCTCTCTTGGTTTCTTTCGTTTTAAAGATTATTTAAGTGGTCACTTCAACTTTTCTTGGTTTTCAAATGTTGGACAGTCTTCTTGAAGGTTCAAAAAAATGAAAAATGGAGCTTGAAACGCTCTAAGTGATCACTATAGGGGCCACTTCGCAGCTCTAAGGTCTCTTTCGTTTTTCAAAGATCCTTTAAATGATCACTTCAACTTTGTTTCAGTTTTTCCAGAGTTTGGACTGTTGGAGAGACCAGAAATGAAGCTTGAAACTCTAAGTGATCACTTAAGTGACCTCTCCAACTTTTCCAGGTTCTTCTAGTGGTCCCTTCAAAGTACCTTCCGTTTAAAAGATCCCTTTAAGTGGTCTCTTCAGCTTTTCTTGATTTTCAACTGTTGGAGAGTCTTCTTGAAGGTTCGAAATTGAAAAAATGGAGATTGAAATTCTCTAAGTGATCACTATAGGGGCCACTTCGCAGCTCTCTTGGTTTCTTTCGTTTAAAAGAACACTTAAGTGGTCATTTCAACTTTTCTTGGTTTTCAAATGTTGGACAGTCTTCTTGAAGGTTATAAATTGAAAAAATGGAGATTGAAACTTCGAGTGATCACTATAGGGGCCACTTCGAAGCTCTAAGGGCCTTTAGTTTTTTAAAAATCCTTTAAGTGGTCACTTCAGCTTTTATTGATTTTGAACTGTTGGAGAGTCTTCTTGAAGCTTGAAAATTGCTGAGTGATCACTATAGGACCCTCTCGTTCATCGAAGATCTTTAGAGCCCTAAACCTAACAAATCAAAAACTCAGGTCCTCGCAAACCGATGGCCTACAAGGTTCCGTATTGGGTCTGGCGACGGCTGTCGCCATTCCTCTCCCTAGCCAGTTATCTCTACTTCACGACGCTCCACTTCGTCTTCTGGATCCTCAACGCCTTCCGGGAACGGCAGTACGTCCGCGAGCCGACCGACAGGCTCTTGTTGATCAGCGCCACGCAGGCGGTCCGCATGATCGCCGGCAGGGAGATCACCTCCAGCCAACTTGTCGAGGCCTACATCCATCGGATCGAACAGGTCTTGGGATCAAAGAAGACATCTTGTAGAGCTTTTCATGGCGATTCTTACAGTATACTCATCACAACAAAGTTCTAAACTGTTACTGTAGCTAGGTTACGGTAGGGTCCCTAATTATGCGTTTTTTCTAGGTATATGGTATATCAATCGATAGGTAATGCGATTTTGAAAGCTTTTCTAGTGCATGCCAACATGGGTTACTGTAGAATTTTTTCGAGTTACGGTGCTTTTTGTGTTTGCGGACTGTTTTTAAGTCAAACTGTGTGTTTGAAGATAGTACCAGGCTGCTAACTTTCGTCAGTTCTTCCTCGATCTTTTCAGAAGCGAATTTTTTTTTTAAATTCGGACTTTTGGGCCCCTAAAATGAAGATGGAAAGCTCTATAAGATGGCTATGTAACCTTGAAGATTTTGCCTTCACCTCTCTTTGTCTAGGTAAACGGTGCGATCAACGCGGTCGTCGTCAAGAACTTTGACAACGCCCGACGCCAGGCCGCCCTTGTCGACGAGTTCATCGCCGACAATGATGACGACGTCGTTCAGGAGGTCCTCCAGCTCCATTTTTCTCTAGATTCTGATCAGAATCGTTTCAGCGAGTTCAAGCTGAACCGCTTCTCGGCGTCCCGTTCACCATGAAAGATGCCATCGAAGTCGAGGGTCAAATCGTGACTTGTGGCGTTTTCAATCGGAGGGATTTCAAGTGCGAAAAGTCGGCGGAAGTTGTGATGAGGTTGGTTTGAAGTGCAGTTGGAGAAATGAGAGGAAAATCGTAGTTAGTAAAAGCTACAGAGCTACGCTTCTTAAGTGACCTCTTCAAAATCACTCTCAAGAATATAAGGCATAGAGAAGGGACAAAGAGTCATTCAGAAAGGCCTCAAGACCTAGAAAGTCTGAATATTCTCCAAAAAAAGCAATAAAAACTGAATCATATGAAGGAATATATGCTCAAAATAGTTTCGGAGCAGTCAAAGCAGAAATTGAAAATGAACCGCGACGCTTTGATCCAATCCAAATGCGACCCTTTATGAAAAACCCTGTAAAGCTGAGAAAGACGAACTTTGGCTCAATCAATATTTAAGCGTTCTTTCTATCTTTTTCAAACTACGGCTTATTCTCGAAGAAAAATAAACCGCGACGCTTTGAACCATTCCAAATGCGACCAAATATTTTCAAAATATATGCTTTGATCCATTCCAACGGCGGCCCTTAATTAGAAAATCTATGAAACTGAAATAATTGAACTTTGGCTTGATCCAACTTCAAGATTGTTTAGCCTCTGTCTATCATTTGTCAAACTACGGCTTACAAAAACCTCGACCCTTGAGCCATTCCAAATGCGGCCTCTTATGGAAAAGCCAAAAAAGCTTACAAAGACGAAATGTGACTCAATCAAGATTCAAGATTTTCCAATTACTCTCTACCTCTGTTTATCTTCGGCTTATCTTCGTAGAGAAAAAGAAACCGCGACCCTTTGAGCCATTCTAAATGCGACCATTTATGAAAAAGCCGAAAAAATGAAATTGACGAACTTTGGCTCAATCAAACTTTAAGCGTTCTGTCCATCTTTTTCAAACTACCACTTTTTCTCAAAGAAAATGAAAACCGCGACGTTTTGATCCATTCCAAGTGCGACCATTTATGAAAAAGTCGGAAAAAGGGTAATTGACGAACTTTGGCTAAATGGAACCTTAACCGTTCTAACTATCGTTTTCAAACTACGGCGTATTCTCGAAGAAAATGAAAACCGCGACGCTTTGATCCATTCCAAGTGCGACCATTTATGAAAAAGTCGGAAAAAGGGTAATTGACGAACTTTGGCTAAATGGAACCTTAACCGTTCTAACTATCGTTTTCAAACTACGGCGTATTCTCGAAGAAAATGAAAACCGCGACGTTTTGATCCATTCCAAGTGCGACCATTGAAAAAGCCGAAAAAAGCGAAGTTAACGAACTTTGACCCAATCCAGCTCTAAAAGTTTTCATTTAACGTCTACTATGCTCAAACTACGGTCTAGTGTTTGAAAAAAGAAAGTTAGATCCATTCCAAAAAGAAAACCGCGACGCTTTGATCCATTCCAAATGCGAACTTTTATCAGAAAACCTAAAAACTGAAATAAATTACCTTGGCTCAACCCAACTCTAAGATTTTTCAATTACTGTTCATCGTTTTCAAACTACGGCCTACCGAACAAAAAAGAAAACCGCGACGCTTTAAGCCATTCCAAGTGCGACCAAATATTTTTGCAGGATGCAAAATGCCGGCGCGATTCTCATGGCCATAACCAACGTCCCGGAAGTTTGCATGTGGGTCGAGTCGATCAACAAGATCTACGGAAGGTCCAAGAATCCTTATGATACGAGAAGGATGACTGGAGGATCTAGTGGAGGAGAGGGAGCACTTCTTGGAGCTGCCGGAAGTGTGGTAGGTCTTTTTTGGATACAGTTTAAGAACCATAGCAAAGAGGTACTGTAGGAGCTTGAAATGACTTTTTACTGAGCAATTTCGATAAGGGAAAAGTTTTTTCTTAAGATCGGCATCGGAAGTGACATCGGCGGCAGCATCCGCATGCCTTCGTTCTTCAACGGAATCTTCGGAATGAAAACGACGCCAGGTATAATGCGAAAAAATGGCTGAGGAGCATGTTCGCTCCATGGAGAAAAAGTCATTTTCTCGGCTCAAATTGGGAATTTTATTGATACTGTATTATTAGATGCAGTTTTTGATGCTGACGTCAAACCTGTACTCGAAAACTTTTGAGGAAGTCTGTTGAAAAAGTTATGACATCCTAAAGTTCAAAAAAAAAAAGTTTAGGGACATGTTTGCTCCATGGAGAAAAAGTCATTTTCTCGGCTCAAATTGGGAATTTTATTGTAATATGCAGTTTTTGATGCTGATTTCAGATCTGTGATCAAAAACACTCAAAAATCTTTTTGGAAAAGTTATGACCTCCTAAAGTTCAAAAAAACCGCTGAGGAACAATTTTCGCTCCATGGAGAAAAAGTCATTTTCTCGGCTCAAATTGGGAATTTTATTGTAATATGCAGTTTTCATGCTGATTCCAAATTTATACTCAAAAAGTTTCGAGGAAGTCTGTCGAAAAAGTTATGACTTCTTGAAGTTCAAAAGAAAGCCTTAGGGACATGTTCGCTCCATCGAGAAAAAGTCATTTTCTCGGCTCAAATTGGGAATTTTATTGTAATATGCAGTTTTCATGCTGATTCCAAATTTATACTCAAAAACTTTTGAGGAAGTCTGTTGAAAAAAAGTTATGACATCCTAAAGTTCAAAAAAAAAAAGTTTAGGGACATGTTTGCTCCATGGAGAAAAAGTCATTTTCTCGGCTCAAATTGGGGATTTATTGTAATATGCAGTTTTTGGTGCTGATTTCAGATCTGTGATCAAAAACACTCAAAAAAATCTTTTGGTAAAGTTATGACCTCCTAAAGTTCAAAAAACCGCTGAGGAACAATGTTCGCTCCATGGAGAAAAAGTTTTTCTCGGCTCAAATTGGGAACTTTATTGATACAGTGATCACTAGATGCAGTTTTTTGTGCTGATTTCAAATCTATGATCGGAAATTGCCAAGAAGTTCTGTTTTCAAAATTATGACGTCTCAAATTTGAAAGAAATAGTTGAGGAGCATGTTCGCTCCATCGAGAAAAAGTTATTTTTCTCGGCTCAAATCGGGATTTTATTGATACTGTATCATTAGATGCAGTTTTTGATGCTGATTTCAAGTCTGTGCTTGAAAAAAATTTTGAGGAGATTTGTTGAAAAATTATGACCTCTTGAAGCTGAAAAAAAAAATTTACTTTCTGGTTGAAATCATTTTAGGAAGGCAGGTATAGCTGCCCCCAGTTATTCCGAAAAAATTGAGCAAAGATTCGATTTTTCAAGTCTTTTGTATCCTCCGTAGAATACTTGAACATTGAAGAATTTCGAAAAGACGTTTTGATCCGATTTTTATTCAAAATTAACCCGTTTTTCGTCGCTCTGAAGAATGAAACTCAATAGGAAAGGCTAAAATTTGAGAAGCCATAAACTTTTTGACACACCTTCTGGGGGTATTCAGATCTCAGTTTTGAAATCAGCGCAAAAAATTGACCATGATCTCATTTGAAAGTGTCAAATAGGTTTGAGACCAGTCTAGTCTTTTTAATGTCAAGTCGCCGCTCAAGCTCCGCCCCTAATGGTGCGAAATACCAATCAGAGAGCGAGCTATCCACAGAGCTTATCCCAATGACGTCATTGTACTTGACATTCAAAATTTGAACAGACTATGGAGTTTGAACGGAAATCTCAAGCTACAGCCATTTTCCAAGCTTCTCCCGGAAAAGCCATTTGAAAAACCGCTTTTCAGGCGTGATCCCACTGGCCGGACACGTTCCCGAGCCATCGGGCTACAAAACGGAGATGCTCCGAATCGGACCCATGTGCCGTTTTGCCGAAGATCTGCCACTGCTGATCAAAGTGATGGGTGGCGACAACGCCGTCAAACTGAATCTCGACGAGCCAGTCGTCAGGAAGAAGCTCCGAGTCTTCTACATGGAAGGGATCAGCGAGAATCCGCTGATCCAGCCTTTGGACGACGAGATGCGATACGCTTTGAAGAGGGTTTGTAGCGGGAAATGATCATGAGAACGGAAAAATTCTTGAAAAAAAGGGTAAAGTCCATTCACTAGGACTTGAAACAATCTGACCTGTCTGTGCTCTCTTCTCTCTCATCGCTTAGGTTAGAGAAATAGGAAAAGAGCCCGAGGATGAAGAGGGCACAGAGAAAAAGAAGAAGAGCGCAGAGAAAGGATGCTTTTGCACATTTTGGTTAATTTTGCCAGCATTTCATTCATAACGGCTCGAAAAGTCTGACCTGTCTGCGCTCTCTTCTCTCTCATTAGAGAGGTCATAGATACGAGAAAATAGCATGGTAACACGAGAGAACGCAGAGAAAGAAGGCTAGTTCAAGGTTGAAAAGTTGAGATGATCAAGGAATTCATATTCCTTGGAAAAAGCCAGTTTTCGCAACTTAATGGTCGCATGTAGAATGGCTCAACGCGTTGCGGTCGCAAAGCGGCTCCTGGAAAATACTCCCGACTTTGAACGGTTTACGAAAGTCGGAAAGAGATGCGAAAGGGCATATTACAGTATAACCCCCCACATGTATTGGGTATCGCCCCCGCGACCCGTTCGAACAAGTCCCCCGCAATTATCCAATGTAGCCCCCGCAACTATCCAGTATAACCCCCCACACCGAGAATAGGTCACGCAACGATCACGCAGGACACGTGTCAGAGCTTCCATTTTTTAATTTGTTTTCTATTTTTTTCGTATTATTCGTCATTCTTGGTTGTTTTAAATGGTTTTTTTTGTATTTTCGCATGTAAATTCGTGTTCTTTTTGTGAATTTAATAATTTTTGTGATTTGATTTGTAGATCATGGAAGAAATTAGGTCGCTGACCGAGTTTCATGAGAAGTTCAAGGCAGACAAAGAAGTTTACGGGTACGTCTCGCCGAGATACGTACGAATATCATAAAATTATGGGGCGCTGACCACTTAGAAAAAATTAAGATGAACTTTATTAGTTTTCAATCAAGTAATTGTTCTGAGGAATAGAATTCTTTGCTTTTTCTTTTCATGCACATTAATTAATAAATTACTTAGGAAGATAGGCTTAGTTTTAAGGCTTCACACGGAGGCGGAGCGCGCATAGCGCGAAGCCGACTGTGGCTCGCTTCGAAAAAACTGAGCCACAGTGAACAATTCGTCAAATAAATAAAATACTTGACATGGAGGGGGCATTCTGAAATGGAGGGGGTCATTCTGAAATGGAGCAGGGGCCATTCTGAAATGAGAGGGGGTCATTCTGAAATGGGAGGGGGCTTGTTCGAATGAGCTCTGGGGGAACTATTTCAAAGTCGTGCGGGGGGCAAATATGAAAGATTGCCTAGGCATTTCAGAATCGCCCCCCGTTTTGTACTGCGGGGGGCCATTCTAGAATACATACTCACCCCCCGCGTTTGATTTTACCCCCCACATGAAGTCCTCCGATTTTACCCCCCGCAGATCGGAATTTGGCTTGGTGGGGGGCTTGTTGGAACGCGGGGGGCAAAAACAGTGTGGGGGGCGATTCTGGAATTTTCCCATGCGAAATTCAACCTTCATCAGCTGCGGTATCCAAGGTTTTAAGATGCGCCCGACCTGAACCGACTTGCGCCCTGGAACATAGACACCCGTTTTAGATCGCCTTGAGCCATTCCCAGTGCGACCAATTCGAGTCAAAGCGAATCGACTATGGTTAATTAAGAACTATAGTCCGTTTTCCGTGACTTGAAAGGGCGGGACTTCTGCGCCCTCTCATTTTGACGTACTATTTTTGCGTTTCTCTGACCTCGAGGGAACAGAGAGACGCAGACACGCGAAAACTGTAGAATTCCCTTGAAAAAAATGAAATATTTGAATTTAGTCCGTCCAATTCCTCGAAAGGAAGTACGACCTGATCGCCCATCGGATCGACATTCCGCTGGCCAAACACTTCATGGAATTCTTCATGCTGTCGATGAGCCACGACAACACCGACCCCAAGTTCTCCAAGCTCATGCTTTGTACAAATGTGTGGTTTCCTTCTTCTTCTTCTTATTTTGTACCCCTTAAGGGGCCCCAATAGATACTGATACCAATGGTAATCAATGGACTAGCTCTTGTTACCTATCCTGATTATGATGCCGTGATTTTCAACTACCAAAATTTGGTTTGGCCGCGGCGGGGATCGAACTTGCGACCCTCCGGACCATAACAAGGCACACAACCCGTTGCGCTACGGCGCCTCATTTGCTCGTATCTACTCGGCAACGGTGTCAAAACGTTCCCACTTTCAAGGGAACTCTTTTAGTCCCTCGAAATCAAGTGGCCACTTAAGAGGTTTCTCGAGAACACTAAAGGGGCCACAAAAACCAGCTTTATAGAAGCCGCTGTTAGTGGCCACTAAAGTAGATTCCAGTGCTCTGTTAGTCTACTCAGACTTCTAAAGAGGCCACTAGATTCAGCCACTTAAGTTGCCACTAATTAGACTACTGTAGTGGCCACTAAAACGTCAAAACCCTCAAGTAGCGACTCAATGATTTGCCAGGAACTTCTGGTGCGAAGAGTGATTTTTTCCAATTTCGAAGGATACGGTATGTGGAAAGTCCGCATTTTGAGTTGTTCACTCCGAGTGTTTGCGGTTTTTTTGCGTGACACCTCCGATTGGTTTTTCATTTTGATACTGAGCTTTATTTTAATATATTATAACCCCAGAAAAATCAAAATTTATCGTTACTAAAGATAAAATAACGAAAGAGATTTAAAAAACCGCCGAGAAAATGGTCACGCCACACAAGTGCAAACACAGACAACTTTGATTGCGGGACTTTGGCGTACAGTACTCTTCGAAAATGGAAAACTAGCGTTTGTCGCTTTTTTCAATGAAACTTGGCTGAAGGAGACTTTAGAAACCGCTGATCCTAGAAAAAGGAAAAAAATTCTCCTAATAAGTGAATAACGTTTTTTTGGGTCGTTTGCGGACTTTAAAGGCTTATAGGTTGAAAAATACCTATGTTTTGTTTTTCGAAGATCCAAAATTCATCGGAAATTCAAAATAAGTTCCTTTTTCTGAAGTTCCCAGACCCTCGCCTAACTATTTTTCCTACATCTTTTTTTCCCCTTCAAGAAAGAAATTCTAGGGCACCAAAGGCGACGTCAACTGCTACCAGGAGCTTCTCAAGTTCGTCATTGGAAAGTCCAATCATACCCTCGCTGGAATCATCACCGGAATCATCGACGGGGCTGATCCGTGGACCAAGGAACAGAAGAATGAAGTGGGGAAAAAAAAAGAAAAAATTATTTTCGCTTTCCAGCTCCTCTACAAACGCGACAGGATGAAGAGACAAGTCCGTGAACTTTTGGGCAATGATGGCATTTTGCTGTTCCCAAGGTACTGACATAGGCAAAGTCGGAGAGGGTGGAAAAGGCTCCATAGAAATGTTCCTTTTTGCTGCATTTTTGCACCTTTTCATCGGCTGTTATGCACCAATTTTGCTGCCTTTAATTTTCCCACCATTTCTTGAGCCTTCAGAATCCCAGAAAAAATGGAAGGCTCGATAAAGGGACCCTTTTTGCTGCCTTTTTGCAGCCCTTTTGAAGCCTTTTTGCGGCCATTTTGCTGCCATTTTGCAGCCTTTTTGCGGCCATTTTGCTGCCTTTTTGCAGCCTTTTTGCGGCCTTTTTGCAGCCTTTTTGGGGCCTTTCTGCGGCCTTTTTGCAGCTCTTTTGCGGCCTTTTTTGAGCCTCTTCCTTATAGCGGCCATTGTCCACCATTCCAACTATCGATAGTGAAATTCGGGCAGAACCCTATGAAAATCAGCCAATTTTAAGACCTTGCAAAAATCTCCAGTTTTTGAAGTCCCTGAATCTTAGTCGAAGCTGACTTCTACCTTTGGAAAAAAAATGGCCCTTTTCCAAAAAATTCCAAAGTTTTCAATGACGTCACTTTCAGAAACTATTTATTGAAAAAAATTTCAAATCTTGGGCTTGTTCATCGTAAATATTTGTTTTGAAATCGATTATTTACTAGTTTATTTGTGACCCAAATAATCTATCAATTTTCGACAAAAAAGCGGGGGTTTCATAATTTCTAAAGTCATCATCGTTTGTAAAGTTTTAAATTGACAAACCATCCTCTGCGAAGTGTAAGATAATAGTAAAATTGATAATATTCCAATTTTGAAACGTATTCAAGCATTCGCCTTTCACGCGTTCCGAGATTTTCAACGGCTTCATTTTCAATTTGGATAACAGTCTATCATTTTCTTCAAAGCTTATTATGCTCTCATCATACAAAACCTCACAGAAATTCGAAAAACGAGAAATTGTGGAAAATACAAACGTTTTGCGCCACACTGATAAGAAAAAGTCCAAAAATTTGTAGTCATTCCATAATTACTTCATATTGAGCTTGTCAAGATTTCAAGCCAGTTCAAAAAAAGCGGCGGAGCTGAGATTTTCAAGTAATCACTAAAAAAACCACTTGAGTGATCACTAAAAGGGCAAGTCTTTCTGAAAGACGTGGGGGGTTTTTCTTGATGTGAATATGAGTAAACTATTCATGCTTTCATTAAAAATATTATTGAAAAATTGGTTTTTAAAAAGGTTGAAAAAAACTTGGCCCTTTCCCAAAAATTCCAAAAGTTTTCAATGACTCCACTTTCAAAAACTATTCATTAAAAAAACCAAATCTTGATTATTTTTATCAACTTTACCACCGTAAACTCGATTCTATTCGAGTTGCTACTTAATTTATCAATTTTCAAAAAAATTTAAATGAAAAACTGGGGTTTTTTTCATAATTTGTAATGTAAGGCTTGTGTTGTGGGACGTGAGAAACTAATATCAATATTTATCATTTTTTGAATTTTGTTTTAAAAAGCGTTAAAAGGGACCAAAAATCTTGAAAAACTTTCGAAAATTCATCAAATTTGAGTTTTTTATCAGAAAAAATTCAGTTTTCTCCTCACAAATCATTTTACTTTACGGTTCAGATTTTCCTGAAAATTGGTCAGAATGCTCTTTGGTGGGCCTGATGAAGGTTCTGAAAGTCTCAACCTGCACAACTTCCTATTTTTCGAGAAATACGGCCTGAAAGACCAAAAATAGCCCGTTTTGAAGGTTTTCTTAGACTTTTCTCAAAAAGTAGAAAATTGTGGAGGTTGAGATTTCCAGAATCTCCTTCTGGTACATCAAGGTGTGTTCTAGCCAATTTTCAGGAGTATCCGCAAAGTGAAATGACCACCCTTGTCAGGAACTGGTTCAATTTCAAATCTCTTGTTAATCAATTTCTTCATCCTTCTTCTGTCCCCTTCCTCAAGAAGTAATAAAATTGCTCATTTTCCAGCTGGCCCTGCACCGCCATGTACCACAATGAACCCCTGCTGACCCCTCTCAATTTCGGCTACACGGCCCTTTGGAACGCCCTCGCCTTACCCGTCGTCCAGTGTCCGTTGGGTCTCGACTCCAAGGGACTTCCTCTCGGCGTCCAGGTATTCTGATTTTGGGTCTGCCATCAATCCTTTCAAATTAAATCAGAAAAAGTTCTATTCCAAGTTTGATATAGTCAATGTTTCCCGACTTGAAAGGCGAGGGAGGCGATGCAAGGGGTGGGACGCGTAGCGTGTGCGTACGCGGTTCTTGGCGCCAGTTCAATTAAATTGCCGCCGACTATTTAAAAAGCTCGGCAACCGCTCTTTTTCAAATTTTTCTACTATTTTTTGATGCACACATGAACATAATTAATAAATAATTACAAAAGGAATGAAAAAAGCGATAAATAAGCTCTCTGAATGCTCGGTGAAGGTTGAATTGAGCTCGTGCCAAGAACCGCGAGCGCACACGCTACGCGTCCCGCCCCCTGCCCCGCCTCCCTCGCCTTTCAAGTCGGGAAACATTGACTATATATCTCCATTGGTAGAGGCCTTATGAACTTTTTTTATAAGAATATTAATTTACCTACAGATCAGTATGAACCCTAAAAGATCTCATTCGAATCTGTATGAAAAAAGAAGGCAAAGTCGGAAAAGGCACCATAGAAATGTTCCCACTTTGCGCCATTTTATCGGCCATTATGCACCATTTCTGCTGCCTCTCCCTTTTTCCACCATTTCTTGAGCTTTTAGAATCCTAGGAAAATGGAGGCTCGATAAAGGGACCCTTTTTGCTGCCTTTTTGCTCCCTTTCTGAAGCCTTCTCGCTGTCTTTTCGCTGCCATTTTCCTGCCTTTTTGCAGCCTTTTTGCTGCCTTTTTGCTGCTATTTTGCTGCCTTCCCGCGGCCTTTTTGCTGTCTTTTTGGGTCATTTTCTCAGCCGTTATGCACCATTTTTGCTGCCTCTCCCTTTTTCCACCATTTCTTGAGCTTTTAGAATCCTAGGAAAATGGAGGCTCGATAAAGGGACCCTTTTTGCTGCCTTTTTGGTGCCTTTTTTCTGCCTTTTTGCTGCCTTTTTGTGGCCTTTTTGCTGCCTTCTTCCTGCCTTTTTGCTCCCTTTTTGCTGCCTTCCCGCGGCCTTTTTGCTGTCTTTTTGGGTCATTTTCTCAGCCGTTATGCACCATTTTTGCTGCCTCTCCCTTTCTCCACCATTTCTAGAACCTTTAAAATCCCAGAAAACATGAAAGGATCGATAAAAGGGAATCTCTTTGCTGCCTTTTTTCGGCCTTTTTCGAGCCTCTCTCCCTTTTTTTAACAGCCATCATCCACCATTCCGACTTTGCCCAAGTTAAGTTTACCATACCTTAATCAGATTAAACCAGGTAAAATTTTAAATTGACAAACCATCCGCGGGAAACTGTGAGATAATAGTAAAATTGACAATATTTCCATTTTGAAACGTATTCAAGCCGTCGCGTTTCACGTATTTTTCAGATTTTTCAACGGCTTCATTTTCAATTTGGAAAGGAGTTTATTATTTTTAAAAGCTTATTAATAATAGATAGTTTATTCACTGCCATTATTTAACATATAATTGAAGAATAGATGATCAAGTGAAGGAATAGGCAGAGAAATAACAATACACGGGAAAGAGTCAACCCCAACGAGTTGACGGGTACCCGGAAATATGGCAAATTCACAGGAGACGAGAGGGGATATTTTTCATGAAAGGCTTCAAACGGAAGAGCATTCAACTTTTTTTACGCAGAGTTTCTGGGGTAACGTTAAAATCTAAATAAGAAGTTAGTTTATTCCAAAGAGGAATAGTTCTAGAAAAAAAGTCATTAGAAAAACTGACCAGTAGTCCGTAGTCGAAGTGGATTTCTCTGTAACAGGGATTGAGTGAAATAATTATGCTCTCCTCGCACAAAAACGAAAAATTGTGGAAACTACGAACTTTTTGCGCCACACTGATAAGAAAAATGCTAAAATTCAAAAATTCGACTTTTTTCTTTTGAACAAGCCTTTTTTCCCTGGCTTAAGTCCAGAAGAAGTTCATACTGAGCTTGTCAAGCTTTAAAAGGTTATAATCAGCTCAGAAAAAAAGGAGGGGGGCTTATTCTTTCAAGCGGTCACTAAAAAAGCCACTTTAGTGATCACTAGATGGCTCGGAATTGTCGGAAAACATGAAGGATTTTTTGTCTGATGTATGAGTGGACTATTTTTTTGTCATATAGGGTTCGAAAAAGCTGTCCCCATAGGGGTTTAGGGTCTGACCCCTTAGTCCCTAAATCTCAAGTGGTCCCTATTGGGATCTTTCAACTTCATTCAAAAAACGCATAATTTTAATTTTTCGCATAGAAATGCTTCTTCGCATAGAGTTCATAACAAGTGTCGACCAGCATGTCCCCTAAAGGGGCCACTTTTTCAAGCTTCAGTGGCCGCTATAGGGGTTGAAAAAGTGGATCCTCTTAGAGCCCCTAAGGTTGCCCCTGTAGAGGCCACTTTTCAAGCTTCAGTGGCCCCTATAGGGGTTGTTAAAGGGCCCCTATAGGGACCACTCTGGAGCTCCTAAGAATATTCTCAAAAGCACAAAATTGAAATTCCAGGTGATCGCTACAAACAACAACGACCGTCTTCTGATCGCCGTCGCCCAGGACCTCGAAGAAGGCTTCAATGGATGGGTTCCGGCTAGGAGAAGCTAGATTTTTCAACTAGCCATGTAAAATTCACTTTTATGTGCGGATTCGACTTCAAACTCGTTAGTGATCTGAACAAAAACACGTTGTAGTTTTAATTTTCTCCTCCCCTTCTAAGTTATTTCGCTTTGATCTGCTTTTTGTGTCCTTTTTATACTTTGTACTGTTAAATGTTGAATAAATGCCTTGTGCAGTGTGTTATTTTAAAAAGTTGAATCATTTTTCAAAATATTGAGAAGATCTAGTTACGCCTGAGCATAGTAAATATCGATAAAGAATCCCGTTTTTTGGGTCAAATGTTCTAAAAAAATAGGGATTTTTTTTGGTTTATCTGTTTTTTTGAAGTTTGAAGAAATTTATAAAAAAATAGATTAAGTTTGAAGAAATGTATATGTCCAACGGCAACCCATCATTACTCGACTTAATCTCCACTGACCGCCCCGACTTATTTTTTGATCTTTGTTCCAAAAATCCTCCTATCTACACTGACCATTTAGCCATTTTCTTCAAAATCAATTGTTCCGCACGCAAAAAAAACGGTAAACCTTTTCGTCTTGACTACCGTCGATGCAACTTTGCACGTCTCAACCTAAGTATGATCAATTACAATTGGGATAGACAGTTTTCATATTTTTCTAGCATCGACTCCAAATTTAATCATTTCAACAAAATTTTCAACGAGCTCATACGGGACAACTGCCCAGTTCTCAAACCACGCAATCATCGCGGTTCCAACTTTTTACGCAACTTCTCTTCAAAAATTCTCAAGCGTCTTAAACGCTTCAATCTGCGCACCTCCTTCGGTCGCGTAAATTTCAAAAATCAGTACCTCTAAATTTCGTCGTAAAAACTCTACGTTGGTTCATTAATCATGAAAGAAAAAAATTGCCGCTGGCTCAAATGCCAGTATTTCCAAGTACATTAGTTCTAGGTTAAAAACTTCGTCATGATATTCCACCCCTTATCTCCAATGGCAGGTCTTTCATTCTACCATCCGAAAAAAAGCTAATTTATTTGTGGACACTTTCTCCAAAAAAATCGTAATTTGCATAGTTATGATACACCCACTCTCTTTCCAAGTAGGAAACCTTTGACTGTTGAACCTGATTTCAGCCCTTACGCCATCTTCAAAGCCTTAGGCAAATGCCCATCAAAAAAATTGGCTTTTTCGACTGACTTTATCAACTTTTTTTGTTCTCAAGAATTGTCGTGATTCGTTAGCTATTCCACTCTCACTCCTATTTAACGAATCTTATTGCACGGGCTCTATCCCCAAAACTTGGTCCACCTCTCATATAGTCCCTATCTTCAAAAAAGGCGATAAAAGCGATCCTAATAACTACCGACCTATCGGATTGACGTCTCACATTGCTCGTTTAATGGAAAAAATAATAGCTATCTCTATTAGATCTAAATTCAAAAACACTTTTTCTAATTCTCAATTCGGCTTTTTAAATCATCGTTCTTGTAAACTAGCTCTTCTCGATTGCATCACTCACTGGAAGAGATCCCTAGCTCTTGGTAATAACGTAGACGTAGTATATATCGATTTTCTCAAAGCCTTCGACATGCTCCCCCATAACCTTCTGCTCGCTAAGCTCCAAGATTTCGGTTTCGACCAAAAAAACTTATTAGCTGGTTCGCATCCTTCATATCCAACAGAAAAATCATTTGTCATTAGTGAAGGTATCATATCTAGCTCGGCTTTTTAACATTACATCTGGAGTTTTGCAAGGAACAGTCTGCGGCCCACTCCTATTTATAATATTCATTAATGACATTATCAGCAACTTATCTGATAATGTAAAAGGCTTATCTTTTTGCTGATGATCTTAAAAATTTTTTTCTGACGATCCTATAGCGCTTCAGCAAGGTCTCAACGACGTTTTCCAATGGTCTAGTCAATGGGGTCTTCCCCTGGCCGAACACAAAACCACCCTTCTCCATCTAGGCCGTAGCAACCCTCATGTTCAGTATACTATAAATAATATAACTATCTCTTCCGCGGAAGCTGTTCGCGATCTAGGCATTCTTATTGATAACAAACTAACATTTGAGCCTCACCTTCGTAAAGTTATAGCCTTATGCAAACTAAAAAGTAAACAAATCATCAGAGCGTTCCGCGCCCTGTCTCCCGCTCTAATGAGCCGGATTTTTCTTACTTACGTTGCTCCCTATATGGACTACTGTTGTGAGTTGTTCAGTCCCCCCCTAGCTTCAGAACTATCTTACACCCTCGAAAACATCTTCCGTCAATTTACTCGCCAAACATTCATGAGATCAAACATTAGGTTTTCTAGTTATGAAGACAGGTTAGCTCAGATTAACACAAACTCTCTTTTTAGAAGACGAGTCGAATTTTGTCTAAGAACACTACATAAAATCTATATTAAGGAGAGTCATTTGCCAGTTTCTCACAGTGTTTTCAGGAGATCAAATTCAGTACGTGCTCCATCACGTCTTATCAGAGTAGGGATTCGTTTCGAAAATTTCTTTGAGACGTTCATCCCTCTTTGGAATAAACTGGCTACATTGGGAAACCTCAATGTTTCTCCAGATCGTTTCAGGTCTTTGTTACTATCCCTCGATAACAATTTCCTTTTTGGATCTATTCCCAGCAGACTCCGTTGAACCAGGTACCCGTGCTTAGGGACCGCAAAGCCACGCCCCTTTTCGCGATAGAAAAAGTGGCTTTTTTTTGGTTTTCAACTTTCATTTTGTTGTAGTTGTAAAATATGTGGAACTGGCGAATAAAATTTGACACACATGTACAGAAAAGCTTCCTCTTTCGTTTAAAAAATATTTCACGCTTTTTTGATGCGTTCTCGCGGAATGTCGTACAAAAACGTGAATGGAACTAAAAAATTTTGTCATTTTTTGCTTTTTCATGTGTTTTCAGGTCGAACGCACTCTTTCTTTTTTTATATAATGATTTTGATTCAAGTAACGGTAATTTTAAAACAATAAAATAAAAAATTCGTCTTTGCCAAAAATTTTAGGGAGTGCCGAAAGTCATAATTCAAAATATCGTTAATAAGCGAATATAATCGAGTTTTTGTTTTTTCAAAAGTTAGACCATAGGCTTACTTAAATTTTTCTCCACAGCATATGTGCTGGAAAAAGTTGTTTAATACGCAAAAATGCACTTGAAAATAGAGAATAAAATTAGCGGCGTTTATCACACAGAAAGCGGTCGAACGCAGGTTTTTCAAACGATTATATACATTTATTAGTAAAAAATCTTTCAATTAAAAGAATAAAATAAAAAATTCGTCTTTGCCAAAAATTTACGGGGCCGTTTTAATGCAGTGATCGTTAAACGAGGCAAAAAGCACTGAAAAAACTGTTTTTTCGAAGTGAATTTCCACGGAAAATTTGAGTAAAGATTTGCGAACATATTCTGATAAAAATAGCTGAATTACTTCAAATTTTTATTTTTGAAATAGGCAATCTAGTGCTATTCAAAACGGCTCAAGGCTATGGCGGATGGAAGTTCCCCTCGCCAGACCTAACAACAAATTTCAGTACTAAAAAAATGGTGCGCGGCGCGCCACATTTTTCGTCATAACTTTTTTCATCCTCATTCTTTTCCGAAAAACTAAACGGTTCTGAGTTTCGAATCGAAACAGCTATCAAACCATGCAAAGCTCAATGCTGAAAAAAAATTTTCGAAAATTGGTCTGCGGTCCCTACCCGTGCTTCAGCCCTACTCTAATCCATCTTATGCGCGTCTATATCATTACAAACAATTGAATTCCCCATTCACCTGTGCTACACTGTGTCATAACTTATAATGCTTTCTTTACCATTCACTTATTTTACCTTTGTGCAATCCTCACCTCTTATTCTTTCATTACTGGCTCAGAGGCTCGTGAGGGGCCTCAAGTGCCTTTTATTTATTTATTTCAGGCTTAATGCCAAATTTTCTCTCTCTGTACATGTTATTTTTGTTCTGCCTGTAAATAAATAATATTATAATATTATATTATATGATTACCTCTGTAATATTTAAACTTTATCCTTTGATTAATTTAATAAAACAATTTTTTTCCAAGATGAGAAGCTAAATATAACTGAATATTTATTTCAAATCCCTCGTGAATAAATTTCATTTCTTCTCATATATTTGATAAAATACCCTAAAAAAACTCGCCCAAATTTGCTAATAAAATTTATTTTTTTCATTGAAAAAAACAAAGAAGAAGAAGAGCAATTTTCTAATCAAAAAACTGTTTTTTCGGTAAAAAATGGTGCCGAATTTGAATTGAGCGGATTCACGGCTGGCTTGAGCCATTGAAAAAAGGGTCCTGACACGATAATGCACGAGATAGCGCCTGGCTCGTGGAGAGCGTAGACAGGACACGCCCCCTTAGCGTCCCAAGCTGGCCTTGAATCAGCCATAAATCAAACTTTCTTTCATATTTTCTTGATCCTAATAGAAAATACTGAAAACTCTGCTGAAATGTACTTACATAGGCGAAGTCGGAAGGGCCCTCCGAGGGTCCATTAAGGCTCCATAGAAATGATCCTATTTGCTGTCTTTTTGCGCCATTTTATCGGCCATTATGCACCCTTTTTGCAGCCTCTCCCTTTTTCACCATCTCTTGAGTTTTTAAAACCCCAGAAAAATGAAAGGCTCCATAAAGGGACCCTTTTTGCTGCCTTTTTGGGGTCTTTTTGCAGCATTTTTGCAGCCATTTTGGTGCCTTTTCGGTGCCTTTCTGCTGCCTTTCTGCGGCCTTTTTTGAGCCTTTTTCCCTTTAAGCGGCCATTGTATAATTTTTTTTGTGATGAAGCTGGAAAGCTCTCAAGAAAAGTACCATCCGAAAATCAAAAAAATATTTTTTTGCTCACGTCTTCTCCGTATGGAGCTCGACCTTTTTGAAACTCAAAAAAGCTGCTTTTTTGGGATCTGAAGTTCCAACAGAGGGTAACCAGAATCTTTCAGGAAGATCAAACTACATACAAAAAATTTTTGATCAAAAAAGCGTTTTTCGTAATTTTTCTAACGCAACTTTAGTACGCGCCCTCAAAATTTGCCCTTCTAAAAACCCCTGAAAAACCTTTCCGCTTCAAATTCCAGTAGATGATCCTGGATTTTCTCAATTTCCAAGCTGCTTTGACGTCGGCTTGTCCTGTAAGAAGGCTTGTTGAAAAAATATTACTTTTCTATTTTTCTTTGATTTTCGAAATAAATGGTACGAAATCTACTGAACTGGCTGGTTATTCTAACCATTCTCCTAGAACTTTTTTCAAGAAAACCATTCAGCGATTGGAAAAAAACTCGATTCAAATTATTTATAAGTCCAAGAATGAGATGATAAAACAACAAACGAAGCAACAAGATTGGGGAAAAATGGAAAAAGTGAATAAAAATCGATGAAACCCATTTTTCGGACCTGAAAATCGTTGCGGGGGGCAACTTTGGAACTCAAGGAACGCCGCAAAATTTAATGCTTTATTTGGGTTCATAAAAATAATAATAAAATGCACGAAACGAACAAAACGGCAACCTAAAAACACACGTGAGACAACGATACCAGGAGAAAATCATTTCTTTCTTTTTTGAGGGTGTTAAAATTCAATAAGTGAAAATAAAAAAGTGTAAAAGTTACAGAGTTTGAAGAGAAACGCGTAGAACCGCACCGGTTAATACAACATACGAAAAGATGAAGGCGTTTTCATTAATTATTTTCACAGAACACAAACTTTGAAGAAAGCGGGCATTTCCATATACAGGCAAAAATATTGGAAGGAGGTCAAATTTCTTCTTTTTTTGATCGCGTTTGGAGACCAGTAGATAAATTGAACGACGTGCGGCGAAATGGCGAGAGACGCTCTCAAAATCGAGGAGGCGGGTGGCTGGAAAAATAGAAGTGAATAAAAGTTGATCAGCTTTTAAAAAAATTGAGTTTATTATTTTAATTTAAAAATTTTTTTAATTCAATTTTTATTCGATTACTTTCGCGTCAGGACGATTTTTTAAAACTTATCGCTGCGCCTTTAAATTTCAGAGTTTTCCAAAAATCAAAAAGTGAGATTTTTTTGCGGAAAGTCTAAATTTGCAAATTACGCGTTTAGAAGAGAATTTTGGCTGAATAATTTATTCAATTCTTTCTAACTAACTGGGTGAGTCTATTGAAGACTCAGAAAGAATCCGCAATTTTATTTGGGTATTTTCGCGTCAGGACGATTTTTAAACTTATCGCTGCGCCTTTAAATTTCAGAGTTTCCAAAAAGGAAAAATATCAAAAAGTGAGATTTTTGCGGAATCGAGCCTAAATTTGCAAATTACACGTTTAGAAGAAAATTTTGGCTGAATATAAAAACCCATATTCAAATTTTGGGGAAAAATGAACAGTAAACTTAGGTTTTTTTATTTTTTTAATGAAAAACTTTCATTTTTGGTTATTAGTTCATTCAGCTACAACACATTTTTGACAATCAAGAAGTTTTTCAAGAAAAATCTTCACGAAAATTTATTGATGTAAAACCTTACGGAATCTGCTGAAAGATTAGTAATCGTCTTTTTTTATTATCCAATCTTGGTTTAATACTCCATCCCTTGCTTCTTATATGCCCAAGCATTCTTTTGAAAAATATCTCAACGATTGATGTCGAATTGTGTAAATATTTTAAAAAAATAACTCTATTACTTAATATAACCTCAAGGAACTCTCCAAGTCTTCAAAATTTACAAAACCATCAAATAAAGTAACTATATATTATTTTTTCGAACTCAGTTCCCTTCCTAAAACCCTTACTTCATGTATCCCCAAGGGTTTTGATTGGGCGGAGGCATCTGCTGGGGCATTTGTGGCGGCATTTGCTGAGGCTGCTGCTGGATCATGTACGGGGCCGTCGGCATGGCTACTCCGGGCGGCGGCGGCGTCGTCGAGTCCCACTGACCGGGTCGCATGACGTTCATGTTCTGGAAGCAATTATGAGCAATTATGAGCAATTCTTATTCTGGTTCAAAACGGCTGGTTTTGGTTGAATTTTTTCTTCTTTTCATAGTCGATTCACGACTCGCTTGAGGCGCTAAGGGGCGTGGCCTGTTTCTCTTTTTTTGTCGTGTCAGGACCCTTTTTCCTATGGCTCAACCCAGCCGTGAATCATCTATAAGACGTCATCTACACTTCAGAAAAAAAAGTTACCGGGAAAACCTGTAGTGACCACTTGAGTGGTCCTTCAAGGACTACTTGGAAAGGGCCCTAAAGTGGCCACTAAAACCACCTCTATAGAAGCCAATATTTTACGTTCAAGTGGTCACTATAGCAGTTTTCGGGGTCTAGTAGTGTCTCTTACTAGTTAGACTTCTGATAAGGCCACTAATTTTCAGCCATTTAAGTGGTCACTATTTCGACAACTAAAGTGGTAAAACGTCAAAACCCTAAAAGGGTCACTTCGAAAGACTGATCAACTGGGAAAATCACTAGCGGCCACTGGAGGGATTCCTCAAGGAATACTTGAAGAGGACACTAGAGTGGCCACTAAAACCACTTTTATAGAAGCCAATATTTTACGTTCAAGTGGTCACTATAGTAGTTTCCGTGGTCTATTAGCAACCATTAGACTTCTGAAGAGGCTACTAATTTTTAGACACTTAAGTGGCCACTGAAAGTTCAAAGCCCTAGAGTGGACACTAAAAATTTTCCCAAGGCTTCTCTGTAGCGTCAAAACTCTTAAGTGATTCTTAGAACGGCTCAGAAACGTCCGGAGCACGTCCGCTTTTCCCTACCGAGGTCCGAGTTCTAATACATCTCTCAAAAAGCTACCGGCACGGGCGTCATGGGCGACGGCTGCTGGGGCTGCACATAGGGCATCCCGGGGTAGGCGGTCCTCGGCTGGCCGATGACCAATGGCGACAGCGGAACATTGGTCGGCTGTTGGAAGTGTTGTTGATGAACCACGAAGTTGGGCTGCTGTTGCATTTGCATGACGGGCGTGCCCGGCGAGTGGATCGTCTGGATGGGGACGCCGTAGGCGTTGGGGCGCACTTGCGGTGGATAACCCGGCTGAAAGCTTTTATTTTGATTTTTTGAAATTGAAGGCAAGCCTTTTTAAGTCTTCGTAAGGTCATAGACCATTAAAATTTTTTCGCGCATCATACTGCCATACTGTCAAAATGACTGATCAGCTGATCACTCAAGGGGCGTTATCGCTTCTTAAGTGCTCCCTTAAGAGCTAAAAAAAAGACCGGCAAGCTTCCACAGTGTATACTTAAGGGAAATATGGATTTTTTGCTACTGTTTATCTTTTTTTTTGTTAGATACTGTCAAACTGACTGATTTAGTGATCACTCAAGGGGTCTCAGCGTCTCTCAAGTGCTCCCTTAAGAGCCAGAAAAAAGACCGGCAAGCTTCCATAGCGTATGGAGAGAAAATTGATGGGAATATGAACTTTTTTCTTTTTTTATCCAATTGTTAAGTGCATCCTACTGTCAAACTACTTGTTAAATGAGCACTCAAGTGGTATGAGGGCCTCTTAAGTGATCACTTTAGAGAGCCAGGACCATCTGGCAAGCATGGGAAAGAAATCGAGTGAAAATTTGACCTTTTTGCTACTTTTCATCTTTTTTTTTGTTGTTAGAACTGACTGAGTGATCACTTAAGGGGTTTTAAGTGCTCCCTTAAGAGCCAGAAAAAAGTCAGGCAAGCTTCCAGAGTGAATGGAGAAAAAATTGAGGGGCAATATGAATTTTTTCTAATTTTTATCTTTTTTTCTAGTTAGGTAGGTCTAAGTGACTGGTTTAGTGATCACTCAAGGGGTCTCAGCGCCTCTCAAGTGCTCCCGTAAGAGCCAGAAAAAAGACCGGCAAGCTTCAAAAGTGTATAGAGAGAAACTCGAAAGAAAAGATGGATTTTGCTAATTTATATCTTTTTTTCTTGATAGTGTCAAACTGACTGATCAAGTGATCATTCAAGTGGTATGAGCGCCTCTTAAGTGGTCACTTCAGAGCTAAAAAAGTCCGGCAAGCCTCAAAGGTGTATGGTCACGTATTGTAGGGAAAATTTGATCTTTTTTCTACTTTAATCTATTTTTTTGTGCGTCATACTGTCCTACTGTCAAAATGACTGGTTCAGTGATCACTCAAGTGGTTTTAGCGCCTCTTAAGTGGTCACTTTAGATTTAAAAACATCCGGGAAGCCTCAAAAGTGTATGGGGACGTAATGCAGTGAAAGTTTGATTTTTTTTTTCTACTTCAGTTTGCTTCCTACTGTAGATCACGAAAATAAGTTCTAATAAGACTATTTGGTCGATTTTTGCCATTTTTCGTATTTCATCACAAAACCAACCGGCGGAACATTGATCTGCGGGAAATTGGGGGGCGGCTGGGACGCATTGTATTGCGGAACGACTGTCGGGGCAGGCGAGAACGAGGAAATCGGCTGCTTTAATTGAAAATGATCATATACAGTTCCGGGATCGGGACAAACTTGTGACACAACCGGGGAGGGCAGGACGGGCGGCGGGACCCTCGTATTGATGACCAACTGCCCGGCGGCGGTTCTTGGCGTCAGAGGCGACGGCGTGGCGGAAGAAGTCGTCGTTTTCGGGATGGTCACGCCGAGAGCTGGGACCCGGGTGTCGGGAGTTTGCTTGAAGTCGATGGAGGATCGACTTGATGAGGGCTGGAAAATAGTTAGGCTTGAAAATCGTACACTTTTCCGAATTTTTAGCCCCAGAAAAAAAAAGGTAAGCTCCACCACGAGAAAGGTCCCGAAAAATCACAGAATTTCTAAAAATCTGTCAAAAAAAAAACTGAAAAACTCATTTCGGACCTTATTTTTGAGAACCAAGATTTGAGGCCTCAAAACTTTCTCGTTTTCAAAAAAAGAGGCCGAAACTCCATTTAAAAATTTCTTTCAGGATCTTTTTTTAGTATATCAAAGTCTTAATCCTTGAAACGTCCTAAGAGGCCCAAAAATTCAAAAATGCTCATCAAAACCAACAAAAATGAACCAATTTTAGATCTTTTCCTGGGAAAATGAGATACTAAAATCAAAAATTACATCAATCTCTGACGAAAAATTCTGAAAATTCGAGCGAAACGAAGAATTTTAGGAAAGTTTAAAAAGGTCTGAAAGATTTATTCACCCTGCCTCTATAGTGGGCACTTAAGAAAATTGGCCAAAATCGGTTTAAAAAAAAAGGATTTTCAATCATTATCCATGCTGGAAAGTACGCTCCAATGAGAAATATGAAAAATAGTCATCCAAATTAAATTTAGACAATTTCAATCATTCTCCAAGCTAGAAAAATGCGCTCCAATGAGAAATATGAAAAAAATAGTCTTTCAAATTAAATTTAGACGATTTCGATCATTATCCAAGCTGGAAAGTGCGCTCCAATGAAAAATATGAAAAAGTTTTCAAAAATTAAATTTAGACGATTTAAATCATTCTCCAAGCTAGAAAAATGCGCTCCAATGAGAAATATGAAAAAAATAGTCTTTCAAATTAAATTTAGACGATTTCGATCATTATCCAAGCTGGAAAGTGCGCTCCAATGAAAAAAATATGAAAAAAAGTTTTTCAAAAATTAAATTTAGACGATTTAAATCATTCTCCAAGCTAGAAAATGCGCTCCAATGAGAAATATGAAAAATAGTTTTCAAAATTAAATTTAGACGATTTTTGATGAATTTTCAGATATTTATGAGCTTTTTTCCAGTACCTGCTCCGTCGAACTGCCCGCACTTCCCAACGAAATCGTGTTGAACGATCCGGCCGGCATGACTTTCGTGATCGGCAGCGCGGCAACGATTGGCGATATCGTCGGCGACATCGTGTTCGTTCCGGAGCGATTTCGCGATTTCTCCGCGGCGAAGGTTTCTTTCGAGGCTTCCTTGATGGACATCAGGAAGTTCTCCTCGGCTTTTTTCTCGCCTAAACTCTCCATTTTTTCGATTTTTAGCTGAAGTTTGACTTTAAGAGTATTCCGGAAAACTCTATTTTCTCTGCGCCCTCCTCGTCTCTCTCGCTCTTTTCATGCTTCTCTGACCTCGCCGGTGAGGGAACAGAGAGACGCAGACACGCGAAAACTGAGCTTAGGAGCCCCTATAGGGTTTTGTTGCTTTAAGGACCCCTATAGGGGCGATATTAAGGTCCCTGTAGGGGCCAAATTTCCCTATAGTGCTTTCTGAGCGGCCTCCTGAAGCCCTAACGATTTAGTGCTCCCTCTAGGCAGAGCTTAGGGGTCCCTAGAGGGGTCAACACTTTAGTGATCACTATAGGACATTCTGAGGGGTTTATTGAAGCCCTAACGCTTTGGTGCTCCCTCTAGGCAGAGCTAAGGGGTCCCTAGACGGATCCAAATTTTAGTGATCCCTATAGTGGTTTCCGAGGGGTCTACTGAAGCCCTAAAGATTTAGTGCTTCGTCTAGGCAGAGCTTAGGGATTTCTAGAGGGGCTAAAATTTCAGTGACCCCTATAGTGTTTTCTGAGGGGTTTATTGAAACCCTAACGCTTTGGTGCTCCCTCTAGGCAAAGCTTAGAAGTCCCTACAGGGGCTAAAATTTCAGTGACCCCTATAGTGTTTTCTGAGCGGTCTACTCAAGTCGACCTGACAGGAAATTCGCGAGAAGCCCGAAAATCACCCAATCCGTGCCGGGGAACTTACCAGGAGGCGCTCCAGCCGGAAAAACGGTCGTCGTGACGTTCATCCCAGTGTTAGGGAGTAGGACCGAAGCGTTATTGAAGTTCGTATGTTGGGGCGGTTGGAACGGCGGCAGACCCAGCCCCATGGTGCTGTACATCCCGCCGCGTCTCCGATTGCCGTCCATCAGCCAGGCCCGGCATTCCGTGTTCATTCTGAAGAATTTTATGGATAAACTGCCAGCTGAACATTTTTTCAAAACTTCAAATCTTGAAAAATTCAAGCTGACTCCAAACGCCAATCATTATTTTCTATTTGAGAGGAATAAATCGACCTAAAAAACTGAAACCCTTTCTTTTCATGTCCCTCAGAATAAGGAGAATGACTGAGGAATAAAGCATTTTTTAAATCGGCCAAAAACAAGGGCTTTGTCTAGAAAGTTGATTTAAATTTGACATGATAATTACCGTTGAACCCGTTCGTAGGCCAGGTACTCGTAAGGCGGAGGAGGGTCGATAAAAAGAACTTCTTCGCAAGGATCCGTCTCCTGGGTCGGGATCGACATCGCGGCTGGAAAAGTGAACTTTTTTCAGACAAAAGAGAAAAATTGACAGAATTTTCAGGACTTTCCCAAAAAAAACAGGATTTTCTTGACTTTTCCCCCTTTTTCATCTTCTAGCCACCTTTATGTTGCATAAACCAACCTTTTTTCAACACTAGAAGCTTTGAAAAAATCAAGTTTTCGTCCAAGAAATCAAGTATTACAACCATAAACTTTGAAAAATCTATGAAAACCTATAAAAATTTCTGTTTTTTTCAGGATTTCTCCTAAATTTTTTCACATTTCTATTTTCTTTTTTACCTTTGTGTTGTGTCAAGTCACCTTTTTTTGGAACGTAATGTTAAAAAAGTCAAAAATTTGTTACGAATGATAAGATTTAGAGCTGCGAACCCTCGAAAAGCCAGAAAACACTTCAAGACTTCCAACTTTTTCCAGAATTTTCAAAATTTTTTTCCCTTTTCCATCTTCTACTCACCTTTATGTTACCTTAAATAACCTTTTTTGATACCAAAAAGCTAAAAAATCGATAATTTATCAGAAAAAGCCGAAATCGAGAGATCTGAACTTTCAAAAAGCCTAGGAAAACCTATAGAAATTCGAATATCTTCAGCATTTTTTCAAATTTTTTCCGACTTTTGGTCCCCTTCCCATCTTCTACTCACCTTTGTGTTGCATCAGGGCGTCCGTGTCCAACTTCTCATTCTCCTCCTGTTCTTGTTGCCTTAACCTCTGTCGATGAACATCGTCATCAGGTACAAAAACCACGCACTGAAGATGCAATTTATCCCAATTTCCTTCATTTTTCTCTTCAAAACCTTTCGATTGAACTCTTCAAAAGCCATCAATTTTCTCTTCCTCTTCTCCAAAATGCAGTTGGTCATGTCGAGGAGATAATTTTTCCGTCTCCTTGGGGCCAATTGGACCAATCTGATCATTTTCATGGATTTATTGGGAACATTTTCAATTTCATTACCTAGCCATCGATTTTCCGATCATTCCGCGGAGGAAATCGAGTCGTTTCAAGGTTGGAATTCGATTTCTGGCCACTCCATTGACCTACAGAAAATCATAGGTATAAAATATCATGACGAAAAATCACAAGATGATGATAAAAAAGCCTTCAGGACTGTTAAAAAAACTGGGAATAACTTTTTGAAAAAAATGAAGAAATTTGTAAAAAGTTTTTTTGAAATAAAAAATATTGACGAAAGCTACAAAAATAGTGTTCAAAGGAATCGAAAAGTTACAGAATTGAAAGATAAAACTTGATTTTTTTCAGAAAAACTATGCAGAGCGAGCTTCTACTTCTTTTCAAATGGTTAAAATTTCGGATTTTTCATGACTATTTTTTTTGATTTCTAAGTTTCTTTTCAAGCAGAAGGGGGAGGAGCTGACGTTATTGGAAAATTCCGAACTTAAAGAAGTAAAATTTTTTTCAATATTTAAAAAAATGTTTATTCAATCAATCATACATGGGATGAACATGACCCCCTCTCCCCTCATTTACCTAACGCCAAGTTCCCCCATACGCCTGTCCGCCAAATGCTAAGCCCCCCTCCCCCTCAAAATGCTCGAAAAACGTTTTTGCCAATAATTTGAACTTTACAAAACTAATTTCAGATTTTTTTATAAGATTGGGCTAGCGTCGTCCTGAAACCTTTTTGTTTACGGTTTTTCCCGACCCCCCTTCCCCCATTTTCCATTTTCTCGTTTTATTTGTTGCCAAGTCCCACCGAGAGACTATCCCATGTATGATTCTAATAGAAAATGTTAAAATGCTGTTTTTCAAGGTTCTTTTTTTATATTTTTGAGCAATTTTTTATCGAACTCTCAATTGAATAAACTAGAATCGAAAATTTAGATTTTTCATTTTTTTTTAAAACCTTTCTTTCACTGGAAAAAGTGCAAAAATCCTATTTTAAGGGGTGTGAAATTCATATTTTCCTCATTTTTTTCAGTTCTAAGACGTTCTTCTCAGTAAAAAAACGTTCAAAAAAATCTGTTTTTAGAGACTTTTCTTTTTTTCAAAAAAACAATAATTCTCTCATTTTCCTCATTCCAAACCAACCCTCATCGCGTCCATCACTTTGTCGGCGTTGATCACGTCCCAAAATTCGTGGGGATGATCGGCCAAGTAGCGCCGGACCCACGTCGTTTTGCCGACACCCGGGAGGCCGACCTGGATTTTTTTTTTCTTGACTTTTTCTCATTTTCACGACGAAACCATCATCAAGACGGTGCAGGCGGATTTGCTCTCGGGTGGTATCCGAGTCCGGACCAACTTTTCCCGTGAAACCTCCGTCAAAAACATCCAATCACGATCTTCGGGTCTAGAAATTTTCAAAATTTGAATTTTTTTCGTTTATCTTTTTTACGGAACTGAAATTAAAAAGTGATAATCTTTATGCGTACTTAGGAATTCCAGAGTGGTTCCTATAGGGGTTTAGGGTCTGACCCCATAGTCCCTAAAGCTCAAGAGGCCCCTATAGAGGTCTCGCTTATTTATTTGATTTTTTCCATGGAAATGCTTCTTCGCTCAGAGTTTATAACAATTATCGACTAGCATACCCCCTATAGGGCTTACTAACTAGAACCCCTATAGGGACCACTTTTGCAAGCTTTAGTGGCCCCTATAGGGGTTGGTAAAGTGTTCCAGAGTTCCTAAGTATGTTGAGAAAATGAAAATGCGAAAATTCGTCGTGAAAACTTTCCTGCCTAGAAGCTCAAAATCCCAAAAAAAAAACCGAGCGTTCCTTCAATTTTCAGCCTTTCCTACTGGTTTCAACACATTTCAAAATTTCTTCGATATTCTTTTTTGAGAAAAAAGTTTTTTTTTTGAAGTGAAATTCCTTCAAAGTCATTATTTGACGTGAAAATTGATAACTAAAAAAAAATCTTAGAATTAGATGTTTTTTTCAAGATTTCTTGTTTTCTTGGCATCTACCAGACCACTAAAAACTTTAGTGGCCACTTTAGGGGTCAATGGGATCAACATAACTGGTCCAATCTGTTTGTTTCAAAATTATCGGAGTTAATGGAAGGGATACTGAATGAAAAACTACTGAAGTGGCCACTAAATAGAGAACCTCTACAGTGGCCACTAAAACGGAAAATAGTGGCCACTATAGAGGTTCTCTATTTAGTGGCCACTTTAGTTTCCTCTGCAAGTAGTCCTTGGCGTGCCTCTATAGTGGCCACTAAAATTTTTCAGAGGAGCTTTTATTTTTCAAAACTTGAGTTTTTTGGGAAAAGTTTTTTAGTGGCCTATAAGTAGCTATTAGACCTCTATAGTGGCCACTAATTTTAAACCCCTTAAGTGGCCTCTAATTTGATTACTATAGTGGCCACTGAAAACTTTTCCCAGTTATTCGAAATACCTCAACTTTTCCCTATCACGCTTCTTTTTTTTTCCTTATTTTTCAATTTCCTAGCCAAAAACTTGTCTATTTTCTACCGTTTTTTATTCTTTTTTTTTCTCTCTGAAATGATTTCTCAAAACGAACACATTCCAGCCGAGTTCCTCGTTTTCCGGGGAATCGCCCAGGTTCACGTGGAGATTGCAGTTCTTCACACAGACGTGGGGATAGATGATCGCCTCTTTTTCGAGATTTATTTCGGAAAAGGCGGTCCCGACGGGTTCGTTGTTCTTCAGATACGTTATCCGGCCCTCTTTCAGGTCCTAAATTTCCACTTTTCTGGCTCAATTTTTGATTCTACGAACGATTATCGTAGTTATAATGTCGCCAATGTCGAAGGTGAGGTCGAAATTGACAAAAACGTTATTATGAGCCTTTTTTCCGCTTGCCGACACGCCCCAAGATCCCGCGTATTCGCCGAGCTGAAGAAAAAAATCTTGATTTTTTTCACTTTATTTTTTTATTTTCCTCTTTTTTTAGACAAAAAAACTTTATATTTTGGAGGCCTTTAATCCGATATGAAAACTGAAATTTCTCGATTGATTTTCTAAAAACTTTCTCTTTTTCCCATGAAACATCCGTAAGGCAAAAAAAGCAATTATTCTCACAAAAATTCAAAAATCGATTTTGAGTGACATTTTTCTAAAGAAAAAAACTACAAGTTCCTAAAAAAATTTATTTCACAATATTTCTTGACTTCCTAATCCAAAAAAATAATGCAGATTCTGATTTTTTTCCGAAAAATTCACCATGGAGCGCAGAATCTCCTCAAGTTTTTAAACATGACATATACCTTTCAAATAATGCTTTTCTTTCCGAAAAATTCCATCAAATAACCAGAAAAACGAATTTTTCATCATTTTTTTCTGTCTTCTGGATAAAAATTTCCTCCTAAAAAAATTCGCCATGGAGCGCAGAATCTCCTTGTTTTTCTTTGAATTGACGAATTTTTTTCACCTTTAAAATAACGCTTTTCTTTCCGAAAATTCCTTCCAAAAAACCAAAAAACGAATTCTTTTATTTTTCATCATTATTTCTGTCGTCTGAATAAAATTTCCTCTCAAGAAATTCGCCATGGAGCGCAGAATCTCATCAATATTTTTAACATGACAGATTTTTTTCTACATTTTAAAAATAATGCTTTTTCTTTCCGAAAAATTCTATTTAAAAAAACCAGAAAACGAAATTTATTTGTTTTTTTCATCATTTATCTATCTTCTGGATCAAATTTGATCACTAAAAAAATCTAAAAAAACAGTTCAACTCTATAGTTTTCTATTTTAAAGAATTTTTGACCGATTTTTCTGTCATTTTCAAGCAATTTTGGCCATTTTTTCTTCGGAAAAGCCTCCTTTTTCTCGCACGCAAGCATTTTTAACCTATTTTTTCAGAAAAATCAATTTTTTCCTCTTTTTTAAGCTGAAAACTCTTGTAAACTAACCACAAGAGGAGCCGAATCGAGTGAAAATCCAACTCGGGCGTCGCCTTCATCCGTAAACTCTGTGGGCAAGTGCAACACCGACTGATAGGAGTCGATCTGGAAAAATTGTACTTTTTTTATATCTATTTTTCTAGTTTACCCTGACTTGGAAGCCGATCTTCGTTTTCGCTTCAGGACCTTCATTCCTGAAATTTTTGAGATCAAACTCGGAATGCTATGAAACAGAAAACTGATGGAATAAAGACGGAACAATCTTGAAATGGAAACTGTTCAAATTATCAATGCTTCAGAACAGAAAAGAGACGCTTTTCTGGCTGAATTTTCCGCATTTTAAGCAATTTTTTCATTGCCGACCATCTCGAGATGATTTTTTCAAGGTTTAGTAAGAAATTCCGTACCAGAAAATCTCTCGGAAGCTCAACTTTCTATCTCCAGTTGATTTTTAGAGACTGAAGGAAAATTGTCTAAAAAAGTCAAGAAAAACTGAGAATAGCGGCTAAGTTTTCAAGGCTCATTTTTTTTTAATTCGAAAAATCGCAAAAACAGTCGATTTAGCACTTGAAAAATCTATTTTCCGTGATCATAGCGGCTATTTTTCCAGCGGCTAAGTTTTTAAAGCTCATTATTTTTTCCAAAGGAGAATCAGCCTAAAAATTGGGATAAACCGTAATTTTTGCCTTGAAGCGCTCTCTTTTATGAAAATTATCTTTCTCCCTTCGCCATAGGACCTAATTTTCAACGTTATTTGAAAGGAAACTCGAGGAAAATCGTCAATTTATCCTTGGAGCGCACTTTCACTGGACAATTTTACCCTTTTTGAGCATTTCCGGACCATTTTTGAGCTTTTCCAGACCATTTTTGAGCATTTCCAGACCATTTTTGAGACATTTTCCAGACCATTTTTGAGACATTTTCCGGACCATTTTTGAGACAAATCTCTAAAAAACGGACACAAACGGTAGTTGAACACCGAAATTGGTCCGGACCCCGCCCCACATGAGGGCCAGTCCGTCGCTGGTGTACGGTTCGACGAGCCAGACTTTTTTCTCGGCGCTTTTCACGTGGATATCGGCGTTGTCTGAACATTTTTCTTACATTCTCATAACTTTTTTTCCATTTTATTACAATAATCAAGTTCGACAGCTTCGAGAGACGGCGGCGGTTCTTCGTCGATTATCGTGACAAGCGGCTTTTTCTCTTTTTTCTTCGGTTTTATCCCAGCAGCGATCTGAAACGATTATCTATTTTATTTGATTAAAGATTCAATAAAAAGAAGTTCTGAAAGTTATTTAAGGGGTTACTTTTTCAATCTACACATTTTTAACATTTTCCATTTTAGAAGAAACAAGTGTCTCGGACCTCAGTAACGCAAATCGGACGTTTCTGCGCAATTCTAGGAATCACTTAAGAGTACTGACGCTAGAGTGGTCACTAGGGATCCCAAAATTTAGCCTTAGAGCGCACTTCTACCCGGGCTAATTCTAAGCTAATCCAATACATTTTGAAAGCAAAAAATTGAGAAAAAAATTTTGTGAAGTGAAGAAAAACGCAGTCGCCATCGTGGGGGAGCCACGAAACAAAAGGATTTGGGTTTCCCCCGCAATTTTTCGAAATTTAATCAGCCTGAACTCAACAAAAGTTTGGAAATTCAAATCATTAATAATTTTTTCACTGAAAAATTGTGTGCCTTTCTGAAAAACAACTCATCATCATCACGAAAAAAAAGCTTCAAAAATCATATTTTGATTAACTCGATTGCATAACCTTTTGAAGCCTCGAAAACTCCAATGAAGCTTTTAATGACAAAAAAACTCAAGTTTTTTTGGCCCACATTTGGTAACATTTTTTCAGTGAAAAAATTTTCGATGATTTGAATTTTCAAACTTTTGTTGAGTTCAGGTTGATTAAAATTTGAAAACTGCGGGGGAAACTCAAATCCTTGTGTTTTTTTGGCTCCCCCACGATGGAGACTGGGTTTTTCTTCACTCAGGCTAAATTTTGGGATTCCTAGTGACCACTCGGCATCCAAGGATGTCCTCAAATATTTCAATGAGCTGAAATCGGAAAAAAAAAATGTTTGAAGAGACATGTCCATAGAAATGGGAGATACATCTCAACTTAGAAAAAATCTTTACTGTTCGAAAAAAAATGTCCTAGGGCTTTACTATCTTGAATATTTTCAAATAAAAAGCTTTCATCTATGTATGTTTTCCTATACGACGCATTTACAAAGTATCTTCTCCTCATTAGGATCTGAATATAGTTTCTGAATGCAGTTTGAACAATTTCGTACGTGTTTAACTGCGAACCTAAAACGAAACCTTTTCCTCCCTGCGGTTTTTGAAAATGACATTTTTAGGAAAATTTTTTTTTCTTTTTACGATCTGGAAATGATGTAATAGATGTAAAAATGCGTGCTTATCACGATTTTGCTAGTTTCGAGCCAAAAAAACAGGAGAAAAAAAAAAAAGTTATTCGGGAATTTTACCCAAAGTTACACGTTTTTTGGATTTTTCGGGTCTTAGATGGAAAATTCGCCGAATTCATTTTTCGCTCAATAGATAGAGTAGTTTTTTGGGGTTTTGATAGAAACGAGACAAAACGCCGGTTCGCAACTTCATGTACTGGTTTTGAATTTTTAAAGAAAAATTCTCTAACATGAGCGATAATGAGCAAGTATGAGGTGTAAGATTTTTAAAATTTGAATAAAATTATTTTGCACCTTGTGACAAATTTTGATCGAGACTCGTTGATTTTTTGACGAGATATAGATTTTCGAAGGTTTTTACCGTAAACCTTTGAGCCACCGTATCTCGAAAACGGCTCAAATGATGCTATTCAGTTTTTCAAAAAAATCGTTTTTTTACAACATATTTGATTCAGAGAAAAAAAGTTATTATTACGCCCTTTTTCCAACCCAGCCTAAACTCAAATGCCTTTTTTTCCGATTTTACGTATTGAAACTCGACAAAAAAAGCCAACTTTATTTCCTCTATCAGGACAAATTTTTTTAATCTCGTCATATTTAGAATAAAAAAATTGTAGAACGTTATTTGTAGACAAAGGAACACAATTGAATTATTAAATTTCAAACATTTTACACGCTAAATCGTCTTTTTGAAACCTATTTCTTCCTTTTTATTTCAGTCATTTTGGAAGTAATTAATTAGAACTATCCTGCATAGTTTCTTTTTTCTGGCTGAACGTAGAATGGCTCGTTTTCAACGGATATTTTTTTCTATTTTGAAAAAAATATCTACTAAAAAAATTTTTTTGAGGTGAGATCTTTTTTTCTTTGATAAAATAAATTAAATCTCAAAAAGCATAGGGGCAGTAAAAAAACAGGGTTTCAGGTGAAAGCAGTATCTCATATAGTTTTTTTCTTTGCAGAATCGAACGGTGTACAATTTTTTTCACTTTTCTTCGTC